GTACAAATCCTTATCAAAAGCCCAGCTATTTGTTTGTTGTTTCCATAAAAGGACAAACTGATCCTAAAATTCCAATGTATATGCTAAGGAATTAGAACAGCCAAAATAAAATGAAGAACAAAGTTCACACTTCCTCTATTTTACAACTATAATAAATGGTTTGATGAGGGACTGAATAGTCTGCAACAAGCAGGGTTGAAAACTTGGATGTCCATATGCAAAAATAAATGAACTTGGCCCCATAACTCACACCATATACAAAAACTAAGTCGATATGAATCAATGACCTAAATGAAAGCGCTAAAACTATAAATCTTTTAGAAGAAAATGTAAGTTTAAGTCTATCACTGTGGACTAGGCCACGATTTCTTAGATGTGACACCCAGAACACTGGCAACAACAACAACAACAACAAAACAGATGAGTTGGACTTCAGCAAATATTTTAAATATTTGTGCTTCGAGCGATATTATCAAGGTTGAGGTTCAGAGAACACTATGTTTCTCAAGTTCCTCGGTAGATTTTCCAACCAGTTTAGTAGCTGTGTGATCCTCTTGAGACCCTAAAGTCCTGAGGACACGGAAACGGAAGGCATTTGTGCAGACTAACTAGACACCCGAAGAGATGGTCAGCAGATGGTGATTCTTTATGGTGGTCCCTCAGTTTCTCGGTGTGGTGCTGCACCCTGGCTCCACTCTTACTCTAGTTTCAAACTGCCCATTTTAAGCTGTCATTATTCCTTGGTTCTTGTGCGGTTTGGGGGGTTTTGTTTTGTGTTGTTGCTTATGACTGTAGTTTGGGTGAAAGTTTACAGAGCGAATTCGTTTTCCATTAAGCAATTTACATACAGTTTGTTTTGTAACATTAGTTGCCATTTCCCAATATAACAGTGCTTCCCACTTTTTCCTTGGGTTCCCCATTTCCATTTGTCCTTCTTTCCTGCCCGTTCCTCCGTTGTGAACTTCATTTTTGGAGGCAAGGTTGCTCTTTGGGTCTTAAATGGTCCATTGTCCGGGGGAATGCGTTCCTCGCTTCACGTTATAGCTCTGCCTGTTGTCTGGCTGAAAGGTGATCCCCAGGGTTGAGCTCAGTGTCGTTCTTTCTTTATAAATAATAATGTGCTCTGGGAAGTCTCAGCAGTCAAACCCTGCTCTTGCTTTGTATGCATTCGTTGCTTTATGCAGTCAACACAATATATGAAGCCGACCCTCTGTCATGTGCGAGGAGGAATCGCCTCGACGGCAGTGGATTTCCTTTTTATTCTTTGTTTGTCGTGGCCTGCATGATGCTAGGCACATTGGACTTGGGAGGTATTCTATCTGAAGTGACTTTTGCAAATATTGATTTTGGTCTCCTAACTACCTGGAGTTTGAGATTGCATGGCTTCTGAGTATTCCCCAACTCAACTTTCAGACTCCTTCCTGATCAGTTGATTTCATTTGCCTTCTCTGGGGGTCCTAGGAATGCCTCAGTATGACTCTTATGTTCTTCTTCCAAGGCGCCTTGGCGGTGCTGACAGAGAAGTGTTGGACTGCTCACCGCCAAGGTCGTTTGTTTAAATCTACCTCAGGGGAAAGATGAGGCTGTCTGCTGTTATGAAAATTTACAGCCTCAGAAACCCTATAGAGTCACTCAGAGTCAACTCAATGGCAGTAGGCTTGGTACTTGGGGGCTTTATTTGTTTGTTTGTTTTGTTTTGTTTTTCATTTTAATACATCATTTTTAGTGGGGGCTCTTACAGCTCTTATAGCAATCCATATATCCATTGAATCAAGCACATTTGCACATATGTTGCCATCATCATTTCCAAAACATTTCTTTCTACCTGAGCCCTTGGTGTCTCTTATAGGCATACTTTTGCACAAAAGAGTGCAAAGAATACTACTGAGTAGTAACAGAAACCACGAAAAGTTATCTTTCGTGTCTTATGTGCAGTGATCAAGTTAGTACCTTAAGTACCTCATCTTATTTGACCCTTAAAACCACCTCACGTAGCAGGCATGATTAATGTCCCCATTTTACAGATGAGGAAACTGGAGCATCGGGCCACTCTGTCAGTAACTGGCAAGTCAAGACTCTAAATCCAGAACTATCAAACCAGAGAATAGATAGGCTTATAAAACATGGCACCAGACAGACACCTCCTTATTACCATATTCACAACAGTCAGCCTGAGTAATTAAAAAAAGATAGAAATACGCCCCAGTGCCTTTCGTTTAAGAAGATAGACTTATTAGAAAGACTTTCATCCAAAACAAACCTAGATTCAAAGCACTGGTGGTTAAAGGAGTAAGCACTAGACAGCAGGAAGATTGGCTTTGTGAGACAATTGACACGAGGCTCAAGAGGTGCTTCTGTTTCTTCCAGTATTCTGAGAACTGCAAAGCTTCAAAGTGCTGGAATTATTGGCCATTTCATCATATTTTATGTGATAAATAAAAAAGAAAATGCATGCTCTGTTCCATATTTCATGAGTAGTATAGAGTGGTCTCATCTCATTTCTGACTCATAATGACCCTATAGCACAGGGTAGGATTGTCTCTGTGGAATTCTGAAACTGTAATTCTTTACAGGAGGAGAAAGCCTCCTCTTCCTCCCATGGAGTTGCTGGTGGTTTCAAACTGCCAAATGTGTGGGCAGCAGCCCAGTGCACCATGCACTACACCACCAGGGTTCCACGCAAAAGTTGAACAGTGAACTAAGGAAGACCAAAGGAAAATCAATGCATTTGAATGATGGTGCTGCCAAAGAATATTGCAAGTACTATAGACTGCCAAAAGAACAAATAAACCTGTCTTGGAGGAAGTAAAGCCACAGTACTCCTCAGAGGCCAAGATGGCAAGACTGTGGCACATGTACTTTGGACATGTTATCAAAAGGGACCGGTCCCTGGAGAAGGATATCAAGGTTGGTAGAGGGGCAGTGGACAAGAGGTAGACCTTCGACAAGACGGATCGCAGAGACTGCATCTATGGGCTCAAACATAAGGACAATTGTGAGCATGGTGCAGGACCTGGCAGTGTTTCCTTCTAAGTCAGAGCTGACTCCGTGGCACCTGACAACAACATAAATTGGTCTCGAGCCACGCCTACCTAAAGCCAGCGCATACCAGAGAGAGAGAGAACATTCAAAATGGACAATACAGGGAAACTCGGAATCGAATATTTGGCGACAAGTTTAGCCTGATGCTAGAACTAACTCTGAGAAAAGTTATGAAGGAAGCAGTTTATCTGGGGCAGTGCTATTACGACTATTAATAATAACAATTGCCACCCGGAGAACGCTTATACTTATTGTGGACCAGGCCTCTTCTAAGGGCCTTCGGTGTATGAAATCTCACACCAATACTAGGAGATCGGGGCCATTCTTCTTACTATTTTACAAGTGGGAAGATGCAGGCATAGAGAACTTAAGCGATGTGCCCAACTTCTCAAAGCTTTGAGTGAGAGAGAACTAAGATTGGCACCCAAGCAGACTGCTTCCCTAATCCATTCACCAAACCACTACAAAGACCGCTTCTCCACAAATAATGTGCCTCACAGTTGCTTACTAATTTAGAGTACTTAAGTCTTTGGTCCTATGATGAGTATTCTACGTACATTATCTTGTAAAGCCTGAATTAGTATGCAAGCGTCTCATTTGATCCTTTAAACAATGCCAGGAAATAACCAGTTGTCATGGACTCAATTACTACTCATGAGACCCCATGTATGTCACAGTAGAACTGCTGGTGGGGTTTTCAATGGCTGATTTTCTGCCTGTAGAGCACCAAGTTTTGTTTTTCCCAAGGCATATCTGGGTGGATTCAAATTTTAAACCTTTCCATGATCCGCCAAGTGCGTAAACCGTTTGCACCACCCTGGCACGTCAACTCCATGAGGTAGTTTGTATTATCTCAAAAGCAACAACAACCCAAACCAAATTCCCTGCCATCAAGTTGACGCCGACTCATAGGGAGCCACTAGGTCAGGGTAGAACTGCCTCTGTGAGTTTTCTGAGACTGACTCTGTACCAGAGCAGAAACGCCCATTTTTCCCCAGAGAAGCTGCTGGTGGTTTCAAACTTCGGACCTTGAGGATCACAGCCCAACTCTGCAGTAACCACTGCACCACCAGGGCACCTATCATTGTCTCCGTGTTACCTATAAAAACACGGAGGGACCGAGTAGTCAAGGAACTGGACATACAGGTGAAAGTATCCCCGTCCTTTCAGTAACACCCTTCACACATCCTGAACGTAGCGCTAACCCGGAGTCAGAGCTGTTTCGGACTCCTAGCGACCCTCTAGGACAGCTTGGAACTGTCCCCAGAGGGCTTCTGAAACCGTCAAGCTTTACAGAAACAGACTGCCTCAACTTTCTTCCACAGGACGCCCGGTGGGTTCAAACTAACACCACTTTGGTTTAGCAGCCCAAAATGTAACCTAGTGTGCCGCGAGAGTTCCTTACACACCCCCCCAGAAGGGACCACTACAATAGACACAAACGCAATGTTATTTAGTCTCCATTTTCTACCTCCAAACCCAGCTTCTCTCCGCTTTTCAAGGTCTCGGTTCTAAAGTGCCAGTGGGGGATGGGGTGGGTGGGGGTGGGGGGTTGGCAGTGGACTTTGCTCTCTTCCCGAATCAGGGTGACTAGCACTGTCTGTAGCCATTGGCCCACGCTGGGTTCCCTCCGCAGAGGAGCACACCCACATAAGTCCTGTCCCCAGAAAACTGCCTTCAGCGCTCCGATCGTCTATTTGAAACGTGTCACTTGTGGAGTCTCGAGCTTTCCTTTCTACCTCGCTCTCTTTTGGGAAGTGGTTTCAGGAAAGGACAAAGGAGCAATCCATCACTGGGGACACGCACCCATCTCAAAGATGGGTCCCATCAAATGCTACCTTTGTTTAATTTGGTGGCCAGAGACAGGAAAAAGAAACCAAGGATTGTTACGCCAATTTCCTCTTCATTCAAAGAGTGCAAAATGGGGACGCCGCGGAAGGCACGCCAGGCAGTCTTACCTCCACTTGAAGTGTTGCACATCCTTTCAGGAAGTCCGTGATGTTGTGGGTGCAGTCCCCTTCAGTTTGGGGCTCTTGACAATACTAGAAAAGTACAAGCATGCGTCACTTAGAGACTGTCCTGCCTTTGACCAACAGCCCATAGGCATCACTCGCTGAGAACCAGATAAGGGAGGCTTTTTCAGGCAGGGCCAACGATGCCGTGAAACCAGGAAGAGAAATACCCAGTGAAGGAAGTGATGACAAATCTAAACGGTCGGTCTTTGTTTCAAATGTCACCAAACCTTTAGTCACCGACCATCTCTCCTGACGAACTTTGTCTCAGGCTTTCTGCCAACGGGTTGCAAGAGCAAATCAGCGAGAGAGCAAGACAGGGCTTTTGAATTTGGTTAATGTTTTCAAATGAGGAATGTTTTTCAGCTTGATGCCTCCCTGCCCCCTCCTCATGAAAATTCATGAAAATTCCATTTTCCCCTTTGCTGCTCTCCACACTTTATCAAATTTCTCCACATTTTGCCACCATCTTATTGTCAGGTCTCAAGGTTAAGAAATAATAAGTCAGTTAATTTTCTCAATAAAAAACCCAAAGTCGCTCAAAAAGGCAAAAGAGTATATTCAGTCACAGTCCCCCATGGGCCGGAAGAAAATAATTGTTGGACATTACCCGTAAACTTACTCAGAATGCCTACTTTAGAAATTGTTTATCTTCATGGTCATGAATTTCCAAAATTAAAACATCTAGAGTTTGGGGTTTTTTTAAGACAGTAAGGTTAGTTTCACTTTGAACACATGTTGCATTTGAATTACATACAAGGGGGTTTCATAAAGTTCATGGAAAGACATAATATGATCTTTTAATTTCATTTTTACACGAGCTTTGTAAAGCTTCTCATTCATGACTTATTTTCTAGTTTTGTTTTGTTTTTACAAACCTTATGTGTTATTTTGAATTACTTCTCCTAGCTGCAAAATTGCCTGTCGGTTAGTGGACACTATTTTTTTTGTAAGAAAATGCATGTTGGTGTTAAGTCAAATTGTCCACAAACACCAAAATGTTGATTAAAAAACATCCCATTATTCTACAAAGTCTTAAGGCCTCCAGTTCAGGAAGGTGCTCTCATTCCACATGGCCTGTAGCATACAGGCTTTTGCTCTAGTTAAATTTGTGGGCCAGTTACTGCCGGATAACATTTTATTTTCTGATTTTCTCTAATGACACTCACACACAGCGAGAAAAAATTATATATATATTTTTTTTCCATCCAACTCTTAGAAAGATGAGAGGATTTCAAAAAGTTTGTGGGCCCCCCAAAAGGAATGAAAACACAATGTAATTGGCCCATGTACTTTTTGAAACGCTCTCATAGTCAAAAAAGAGATTCCCATGACCTGGGCAATAGAAAATTCCAACAGTTGCTGCCCTGCTACTCCCTGGAGGTAAGCACTCTGGAAGCTCAGCCAGCCTGCCTTACCTTTTCCACCGAGCCAGGAACAAGTCTGTTGATCAGTTTGCACAGCACTACCCCATTTTTCAATGAGGACTTCAAGAAATCCTCTGGATCACAGATGGTCTTTTTGGGGGAATCCAAAACTCCCAGAGAGATAAGCCATGTCACGATTCTTTCTTCTGGATTCATGACTGAGGCCAGGCAGCTCCGCGCAGCTCTCCGGGGCAGCTGCAAGGACTAAGCCACATCCGTGATTGCATCTGCTCTTGCCTTCCTTTTTATGAGCTCTCCGCTGGTGCGTGCGGAACGAAGGTTTCAAACAACTTTCCTTCGACAACGGTGGAACGCACTCAAAACGTGGGATTTGCCAAGCCACACAGACCACACTCAAAGATGAGGAACTGGATAGAATGAAAGTGACGATCCTGGACAACACTGGTTTTCTTTTTCAAAATCTGCAAAACACACCCATTAGGATTAAAAAAGAAGAACACACACACACACACACACACACACACACACACACTCCTAAAGGGGGAGGAGGAACCACTTCGAGAAGCTGTAAGGGAAGGAAGTAAGGAAGATGCTGGGGAGGGAGGCGACAGTAGGAAGCAAGTGCTTTTGGAAAACAGAGGTGAGCCAGCCCTTCAGGGGACCTTGGAAATCAGACGACACCCTTGGGCCAGTCTGGGGAAAAGCTGTCAATAAATAGTCTAGCCCCAGTAAAAAATCTGGCTTCTGTCAGGAAGAGGATGCCAACTGGCTCTTAGGTCAGACAGCTCTGAGCCTCACGGGGAACTGTGCTGACGCAACATGGCTCAAAGAAGAAAATTATGCCTCCAAGAAATGGCTGGGTGTCCTCATACTAGCTCACAAAGATGGTGTGCCACGATTATGCCTTACCTACAAAACGCGGTGCGCTGCCTGGTGACAGTGTGCCAAGTAAATGAAGACTTCTTGCTGGCGGCCATCATCCCTGTGTATAAGCAGAAGCTAGAACAACGGCATTTTACTTTGCAGCCAAAAAGCCATGTTTAGGGAAATAGGCGAAGGATAACATCTGACATCCTGTTTACTTGCATTCTTTAGCAATTGTTTTTCTGGACCTGCTTCCACTCCTCAGTCCAGCTGCAATGCCCTTAGCAAAGGCTCAGGCACAGGCTCAAGAGTGGGTAAAATACACTTGAACATAGAGCGTTTGAGAACGAAAGCGCACTTGTTCGCTGTTTACACTACAGTCAGGGAGACTGGTGTTTTCCCAATAAGAAACACTTTGAATGAAACGTGCCACTGTGGAAAAGACAAACAGAAAACAAAACAAAAAATGAATCCCTAAGAAGAGATATTCACAAGCCCACATGGAAAAAGCACACCAGCCTGTGCCATCATGAGGTGTTGACGGGATCAAGTGACAGGCATCAGAAGACCTCAAACAAACAACAACAGAAAACATATGGGTAAGAACAAGGCGGCTTGGAACAGAGACTCAAACCCCATTTGTAGACTATGGGACATCTCCTCACAGAAGGGTCACAAGGAAGGGATGAGTCAACCAGGGTGCAGTATAGCATCAATGAAACACACAACATATCTCTGATTCTTTGAGGCTTCCTCACCCACACCCCAACATTATCATGACGCCAGTCCCGCCTTTCAGTTCCGGCTAGACTGGAGCGTATAAACTGGTACAGATAAGAGCTCACGACACACGGAATCCCTCAGGAACAGACATGGGAGTAGCACTACCAGGAGCTTAGGAGGAAGGGGAAAACGATAGCAATGATCTACATATAACCACCCCCACCCCCAGGGGGAGGAACGACATGGGTGAAGGGAGACAGCGGTCAGTGTGAGATATGAAAATAATAATCATTTATAATATATCAAGGGGTCACGAGGGTGGGAGAAGGGGAGGGAGAAAAAAACAGGAGCTGGTACCAAGGGCTTAAATAGAAAGTAAATGTTTAGAAAATAATAATGGTAACATATGTACAAATATGCTTGATACAATCCATGTATGGATTGTTATAAGAGCTACAAGAGACCCCAATAAAAGTATCTTTAAAATAAGAAAAGTTTTAAAATAAAGTAGATAATAAAACAATAAGAGAAAGAGAGATCTTTTTATACTCAAATGTTTTCGCAGCCAGCTGCAATAGTTATAGTACTGGGAAAATTTATCATAAGACCAATCTTTAACAGCTTACTCCTGTTGGCAAATACATTACTACCCCTCCTCTTCATGCATGGGAGACACTGTCAACCAAGCACAGTTCTTTCCTGCTAAGCTTTAGAATCCTTCTGAACACTGCTGCAGACAACCAAATAATGAATGTAAATCACTTTGCTAAATTTTAGCAAAGTTGTCCCTTCTTCGCCTATATGGGCACTTGTTACACGTGCCTGCTATTGCTGGTGGCTCTATCTCCCCGCCCCTCTCATGGCAGAATGCAAGCTCCCTGCAGTAGGTATCTCACCTGTCTTATTTCTCACTGGACTCTCAGCACAATGGCTGGTACCTCTTAGATGTTCAGAAAGGCTGACTGAATGGATGTGCTATGTGGTGTTCCTGGACAGATACTAGGTGACTATACAAGGGTTGTAGAGCTGAAAACAAACATTTTCTCACACTAATGATTTTGTGCAGCTCTAGTCACATACTGGACACAAAGAAAATGTCAAATCTTTAGGCTGTGTAATTTAATGGAGTTTGACTTATGTAGCTGTCAGTGAAACCATCCAGTTTTCTTGTGCCCTTTTAACCCCTTCCTCCTCACCCCATCTCAAAATCCCAGACAACCACCAATCTACCTTCCGTCATATATTAGATTGCATTTCCAAGAATCTTAAATAAATGGAAATATACACGATATATAATATGCACTTTCTTTTTATTTATTTATTTAGTTTTTATTTTATTGGGGGCTCTTACAGCTCTTATCACAATCCATTCATAAATCCATTGTGTCAAACACAGCTGTACATATGTGGTCATCATCTTTTTCAAAACATTTTCTTTCTACTTGAGCCCCTGGCATCAGCTCCTCATTTTCCCTCTCCCTCTCCCACCCTCCCTCCCCCATGTACTCTTGATAATTTATAAATTATCCTTTTTATTCCATGTCTTACACCAATCGCTGTCTCCTTTCACCCACTTTACTGCTGTCTATTCCCCTGGGATGGGGGACATACATCAATAATTGTCATCGGTTCCCCCTTACTCCGCACCCCCCCTACCCTTACCCTCTTAGTATTGCTGCTCTCCTTATTGGTCCGGAGGGGTTTATCTGTTCTGGATTCCCTGTGTTGTGAGCTCTTATCTGTACCGGTATACATGTTCTGGTATGCTATGCATTTTCTCTGGTCTGACTTCGTTCATTCATTATCATGATTTTGAGATGCATCCCTGATGTGGTGTCTATCATTAGTTCTACAACAAGGATTTGACCTCCATGTGCTTTGGTTTGATATAAAAAATATAACCACAAATAAGTGTGGTCCATCAAAAGCCTTCCTGAACTTTTGACCCAGAGCCAAATCTACGCACTAGAAATAAAAAACAAAATTCACTTGCTGAGAAGTGAAATTCCCAAATTTGACCTACTTTAAACACACATTTCTATGTCATTTGGATAGTGTTCATAATTGGCCATCAAAATTTCACTCTACAGCCAAGTGACTTTAGGTAGTGTTAGTGAGATAGCACTTATGTTTTCTGATAAAGACCAGTCAGAGTAATCTCAGGAGCCCAGCCCCCTCCAAAATAGGCCCAAGCCACCGAGGTGGCCTGGCTAAACATCTCCCTCATTTTGAATACAAAATGAATTGCAACACAGCAGAACAGTAAAACTATCTCCTCGATGCAAAACAAGCAGCTCTAAAATATACACACTGGAGTTGAGAACTGTATGGTAAACTATCAAGAAAGCAAGTATTTAAGTACCGAAAGGTTGGCAGTTTGAAACCACCCAGAAAGACGTAGGAAGAAAAGCCTGGCGATCTGTTTCTGGAAGGTCACAGCTTTGACAATCCGATGGAGAAGCTCTGCTCTACACACACGGAGCTGCCATGAGTTGAAATGAACAGCACAGCCACGAATAGCAGCGAGTCCGTATATCCGCGAATGACTCACCATGGTGCCCAGGCAGGGTAAGGAAGGAGTGAAAATGGAAAGGAGCTGGTGAACTGGAAGAATAGGGAAATCAAAGGTGAAAGACTGAAGGCCTCTGTTTTCACGGAGCATGCGTTCAAAGAGCAAAGGTGCCTCGCTCCACTTCGGATCCTCTGTATGTACATCCTGGGCCACTGCTCCTGCCTTTTCACCGGCTTCCCCGCCTCCATTCTCTCTCCCCATAAACTCTCTTCAAACAAACACAATTTGATTGACTTCCCAGAAACGCTTCTGGTAATGCATTACCGCTTCTCAAGACTCTCGAAGACTTCTCAAAGTTTCTCCAGTTGCTTCAGGTGGTAGTCTTCAAGAAAGCTAATTCATCAGAATTTCAAATTCTCCTGGAATCTAGACTTTCTGGAGCCCTTGAGATTGTATGAAGCCCTGAAACTATTTCCTTGAAATAATCTTTAAATTAAAAATATCCCCTAAAGTCATCTTCAAAGCAAACAATAGTTTAGCTTAACTAGTCAAGAGTGTCTGTTTGAACATTGTGCTCTTTGGGGATCCAACTGACAGCACCTCAGAGTAGACAGAGAACTTAGGGCAATGAGTTTACGTTAATGGGAAGGAATAATGGGGGAAAGAAGGATGAGAATGGATGCATAAGATTGTATATGGAAGAATTGGATATATTGAAGAATATAATCAATGTCACTGAGTTGTAGATGAAGAAATTGTTAAATATCCTGCTATGTATATTCTCAAGCACAATAGCAAACAAATTTTTTTAACATTTTAAAATTGTTCATAATAATCATCTCTAGTGAGGAAGGAAGAAGAAAGGGATTAGAGGGTGGAACTTGAGCTAAAATCCACTACCACCACCAGTTGCCTTAGACTTGATCCCAACTCTGGGCAACCTTGAGTTTCAGAGCAGTCCTCCACTCCATTGAATTTTCATAGCTGTGAACATTCAGGCCTTTCTTACAAGACACTTCTGAGTGGAATCGAACTATCAGCTATTTGTTTAGTAGTTCAGTGATTAACCATCTGATCCACCCAGGGATTCCTTGAGCCAACAAAGATGACATTTTATGAAGAGGAGAAAATATTGGACATACTAGTGTCTGTTATATGATTTTCTTTTATGTGTTTGAAATAGCCATGGTTCATTTTAAAATTTATTAGAACACCTTAAAAAAAGCATTTTATCAGGGGCTCATACAGCTCTTATCACAATCCATAGATACATGTGTCAAGCACATGTGTACATATGTTGTGATCATCATTTTCAAAACATTTATTTTCTACTTG